TGTTTAATTCCTACATTCATAACAAGAGGCGATTCATGTCTGCCGCCCTGCAACTGCTACCCAGCGTCCCAGATCTGTGTCCAAAGAAATCCGGACAAGTCCGCTTCGAATCCTTGGCGGAACCGACAGGAACGTTGCAGCTTCTGCTCAACTTGGGGAAAAGTCGCTTCAGGTGTGTGGTGCGTGTGTAGAACGGACGGCTATCTTGCGAGCTTAGTGTGATGATTCGAGGGCGTGGGACTCAGGGATGAAAGCAGTATAGGGTTTAGGGTTTAGGGTTTAGGGTTTAGGGTTTAGGGTTTAGGGTTTAGGGTGTAGTTTATAGAAATTTTCTGGAGCACGAGAGCATGGCTTGGGGTGAAGGGAACGAAGATTGGTGGTAGGGACTTCGCCAAGATTTCGCAAAGGGATCCCTCCGGAGAACGCGTAAGCACTTTTCAAAATAATACGGTTTAGGGTTTAGGGTTTAGGGTTTAGGGTTCAGGGTTTAGGGTTGTCTGGATTTCCCTGAACCCTGGGGCTCGGGCATTGAACTTGGGCACTGTCTGAGGGCTCCACGGCTTCGTTTCAGTACTTTCAGGCGTGACAATTCGGCTATGCCTGGCTCTGCTCTCCAAAGCCCTACGTCGGGCCTCTTCCATTCAATATGGGGGTTTGTCAACAAAGATGGCTCGTTTTGAGTCGGCTCCGGCAAGCCTCCTGACTGGTGTTCAATGGGGGGGGGGGGGGTGGTGCACCTTGATAGCACCTTGTTGCAAAGCTGCAACCGAGAGAGCCAGGATCAGCCACAAAGGTACCCCGCGAAGAGCTGTCCTATGGACACGCTTTTCCAGTTTGATGCGCTTCTCTGCCGTAATGGAGGGAGGGATCGGGATGTTTGGTTGTCCCGTGCTACTGGTTGGTGGTTTGGTTGGTTGCGTTAGTCATTATAGCGGAGACTTCACTGTTGTATCCGAAAATCCCGAACATCCCTGCAGCGCGGCTGGTCCAGCCAGCTAGATGTGGGAGCGAAGAAAAGCTGGCGCCTGGCAAGGGACCGATCAGAGCTAGCGTGTCTGCTGGGTGTCGAGAAGATGCAATGCCGGCCCCCATGCCTTGGTGAGTTTGCTTGGCCCAGGGACATGCCCCGCTACGATTCTGGGGGCTGGATTTGAGGACTGTGCCCGAAAGCTACATTCTGAAGCCTCAGGTTTGCAGGCCAGTTGCAGGCTTTAACACTTTCGTAACGGTTCATGGAGTCCCTGTTTTTGTTGTTGTTTTGCATTTTGTTCGTTTCCTGTCTGTGGTTCTCCTGTCCTTGCGTGGTGCTTTGAGGGACTCCCTATTCGAAACACACTCTTTCTCATTTCTATGCAAAGGAAGAAACGCAGTCTAGTTTTGGATTCTCTGCACCACAAAGCCATGCGTGAAGCAACACTGTTGCTGAGTGGTGCTGGCTGGTTCTGCCCGACGTGCTTCACAGCAACACGCACCGCCTAGCACCAACACACTGTTGCGAGTGGGGGCTTTTTGCACATGTCCTAATCCCGAACCCCTAAGCCCTAAACCCCTAACCCCTAAACCCCCCACACCCAGAAATCCAGGCTCAGGCAGTTTATTGACAAACGGATGCCTGTTGAAGTCGTGTTAGGCGAGCCTCATGGGCCTAGAATGTCAGTTTTGCCCTAAAGAGCTTGCGTCACTGAGTGCGATTGCTTAGCATCGGTGCTCAGAACCGCAGACTTTGAGTAAACGTGGCAGGATTTAGAGTTTGGTTCAGAGGTGAGGTTTCTTGCGGATATAATTAGGCGCGATGGTGTGCGTCGTGACATGTGACATATGCTTTGACAAGACTGAGGTTGACCACTCAGACGTTAACCATCCATGGACTGAAGGTGCATCGAGGGGTTATCACGTGTCCCGTGGGCTCTTTCAAACGCACTGAATGGGCAGCAGTTAACTCTTAGAGATGTCAGAGGCGCCAGATTTCAACAATGCTCCAGCCACCAATGCCAGTGTGGCATCGGTCTTTGAAGGAGCTGGACCTGGGACCCTATTTACCTACCGTTTAGTAGTAACTACCCTTAATTAGTAGGTATCACCAATAAAACTGTAGGTAAAGAGGGTCTGAGGGGAATGCGGGCCCGCTAGTTCTATGGCTTCTATGGCCCCTGAATGCTGAAACACGGGTGCAGCGCAGTTTTGGAATTGCCGCCTTCTTCGCGAATACGGTACTCGAGTGTGGTCTTGTCTCAGTAAAGTAAAGGCGGGCACAGGCTGCACCTGTCCTTCGCGCATGTTTTTGACAAGCTCAACACACAGACTTGGGAAGCCCAGCCGAAGCCTGGACTGGCACCCTAAACCCTAAACCCTAAACCCTAAACCCTAAACCCTAAACCCTAAACCCTAAACCCTACTTCGGTCCAAGTTGCAAGGCCAGTGCTAGGGCCTCATTGGGCATCTTGTGTCTCCTTTCCTAGATGCGCGAGATTCTGAGTTCGATGGACGGAAGTTGGGTTTAGGGTTTAGGGTTTAGGGTTTAGGGTTTAGGGTTTAGGGTTTAGGGTTTAGGGTTTAGGGCGGCCGGATCCTAGCAGCTTCGGCTGAGGGTTGCCTGTAGGTATCCCAAGCACATGGCGAGGGGAATCACGCAGTAAACCAGGCGCTGGCAGTGTTCCGCCAGAGTTGCTTAGGCAATTGAAAGCTGTAGGCTTCAGTCTTCATAGCTCCTGCGGGGGAGTTCTGCTAGATAGACTCTTAGAAAGGTACTTGTTACAAAGGTACTGGTTGCTGGTTGTTGTTGTGGGCCGTCATAGTCAATGAGGCTGCTGGGCCCCGTAAAGATACTCTCGCTCCCCATGAGATAATATGTGTCCCGATGTTGTTTTGCGAGTTTGAGGATGCGCCCATCGAGTCAACTGCGGAGAGAATGCCGGATGCATCGGCATACAGGGCACAGGGGCACAGCGACAGAAGGCAGGAGTCAGGAGGGTCCTCTTAACCCGTCGGAGAAGATACCGAGCTGTCCTTGGCAAGCGCATAGTGGCAAACATATATCCCGGCAGACTACACCATGTGTTTCTCATGCCAAGTCTTTCAATAGGGCATGTCTTGGTGATCCCTAGGTTCTGATAAACCCGAAACCCTAAACCCTAAACCCTACATCTAAAGCAGAGCAGAGTGCTGCAGCAGCCCGGTCATGTCGCCCTTTTTTGTTTGTAAAGACCCTGCTGGGGCAGCACTCCGCTCTGCTTTAGAATGTTTTGGGGTCTAGGGTTTAGGGTTTGGGGTTTAGGGTTTAGGGTTTAGGGTTTAGGGTTTAGGGCTTGTTTTGAATCACGAGCCTTGCTTTCAAATCAGGGACTAGATTGCCACAACCGAATCTCCCTCCCAACACGAACCGCAACTGTTTCGTGTGCTTGGAAAGAGATGGATGCGAACCCCCCAAAAGCAAAAACACCGAAACACAAAAGCCAAAGCCACAACACCATAGCATCCGGGAGAGTGGTTTCCCCTTCTGAACCTGGGACCATCATTGATATGTTCCATAGTATAGGTATAGTGCAGCAGCGTGAATCCCCCCGTAAGACCCTAACTGCATGAGTGCAGCCTTGCTGGAAGGTGGCATCTTTTGGCCACGCTTTACCTTAGGGATCCTGGCTTAGGTTTAGGGCTCTAAGGGTTTAGGGTTTAGGGTTCCAGTACCAGGTTGCACGAGAATGACTGCAACAGAATCGTCACACTTGCTCGCGAGGCCAGGCACATGAGTCAGTGTCCCAGTAGCTGTCCTTCCCTCTTAAGTGGGGTGTGCAAAGATCTTTCAACCAGAAGGCGCTTCTTACGAACATCGAACCGGGACAGTGAGAACAGAGACGTTGCAGCAATTTCTTGCCCCTTCATATGGTCCCTTACCTCGTTTACAGGGTTCTGCTGCATGGGCCCTTGGGTTTCATAGGGTGTATAGGGGGTATATAAGGGGTCCCCTTTTTAAAGGGCTCATACTGCGGGACCAGCCTAAGAGATCCGGCAGGGAGGGTGATCCTCGTGACTTCGCCACCCTGCCCTGTGGAGTTTTTTTTCTTCTTCGTGCAATTCCGCTGAGCCAGACAGAATCCTTCCAAATTTGCTGCCACCGGGAAAGCAACCAAGACTTTCACGGGCCATTCTTTGTTGGTACTTGCTGTGGAGTAAGACGCTCGACGACCTCGACAAGGTTCCGCAGTACTTGAGCTGCTGCCGCCAGCAGCACTTGCGCTGTGCAGCTCAAGGTAAGTATCCGACGCCTGCCCGCGGCCGGGCCCTGTAGAGGGTTTAGGGTTTAGGGTTGAGGGTTGAAGGTTGAGGGTTTAGGGTTTAGGGTTTAGGGTTTAGGTTCTCTCAGCATCAGGTTGAGGATGATGGTAAGCCCGGCCGTGCCTTTCCGATGGCCACTTCCCTGGCAGCCAAGACGTTTTGACCTGAGAGCGGATGAAAAGACGTAGCTGTGTTTAGGGTTCGGGGTTTAGGGTTAAGGGTTAAGGGTTTAGGGTTTAGGGTTTGGGTTGTGTCTGTGTGGGCCTTGGACGTTTCATATTCAGCTTGACGGATCTGGTTGCCAATGAGCCCTACTGCGAGGCGCAGCGATGCAACGGTTGAAAGACACTCTTACTTTAGCGAAGGTCCAAGTCCAAGTGGTTCTCGGGAAATCCTGGTGGTCTCGACGATCCAGTCCAAGAAAAACTCCACTTCAAAAGTCTCCATCCCACAAGCAGCATTTCCAAGGTCAGCCCGAACCAAGCTCACAGTTACCAACACTCCCTTAAGAGGAGGGTCTTACGGTCCCGATTGTTTAACACAAGGTCGCTTTGGAACACATGCAGGCCCACACAACTGTGTCTTCAGCATTCAACCTCATCAGACCACAAACCGGCGAGCCGCAACTTCTGAGGGCCTTGACAACGCCCTTGGCAAGAATGGCACGGCCTGAAGTTTGCAGGCTCAAGTGCTCCACTGCGCCCCGAAGACTTCGGGCCCCGGGCGCCATGCCGGATGGTGCCCTGGATGAGGAGGACGAGCTCAACTTCCAAAAATGGTGGTCACCAGGTTGCACTGGCCTGACTTGGCAGGGCCATCCTTTCCCCGCACTTGCATGGTAAGAACCCCACCCCCAAAAAACACACAAAACAATAATCCCTATTGCCCGTTTATAAAGGAAGAATATCTTTCTTTTGTTGGGGGCGGGGGGGGGGGGGGGTTCTTAGTTTCTTAAGCAATTCGTGGGGCTGCTTCCGGTACCAGTAGCCCCGGACCTCACTAGCTGAGCTTCCCTTTGCAACTCAGCCAGCCGAGGGGTACATCGGAGAGGCGGCTAAACGTGGTGACCTGGCATGCTTGGGCGCACGTCGTGGCTGTCAAAATTAGGGTCCCTTTTTGGATCCCTATGTTTATATACGGCACCTAATATTTAAAACATTTAGGGTACCCCAAAAGGGATCATAATTTTGACAACCACCCACATGCAAGGGTTTCGGAACGATAGCCACGGTTATGGGCAGAGAAAAATGAGGGAGAACTTCGTGTTGGATCGCCCCCCAAGCCTCGAGCCCCTTTAACTGTTTTTTTTTGTGTTCCTGCAGTATCCTAAGTTGGAAAACCCCTCTTCGAAAGCATCTGCAAGCGGCATTCAAAATTTTGTGATTGGTTTGCAGTGCGCCTGGGAAACTCTGTACGGGTCGGATACCGGTGCGCTTGAACACTGCGAGAGTTGCGAGCACAATGTTTCGTCTGACCATGTAGCGTGTCATGTTGAAGCATGTGCTCCTGCGTGGGTCACATGAGGTGTAGCTTGAAAGAGAGGAGGATGCGCTAGAACTCTCCCTTGTCGGCCTGTTGCCCCTCTTTGAAGTATACTGGTGTACTGGTACTGACTCGAGGGCGCCTGCGCTAAGCCCCAAAAGGCTCTGTGTTTCGTGCGTGTTGGGCCTGAGCTGGCACTGAAAAGCATGCAGATAAGTCTGATTGCCTGTTCCCTGACTGGCTGCAACTAGCTTCCCTGGCATTTGGGGTCCGCGCTTTCTGGTTCGAAGACTTGCCTCGCACCCAAAGCCTATAAAGTTTATAAAGGTCCCAGCAGGATGGTGTGCAGCGGCACATGGGGATGGGAGCAGTCTCTGTAGCCCTATAGCATGCCCTCACCCTCATGCCCCTGGGAAGGAGATGTGGAGTGAGCAGAGACAGAGAGAACAGAGAGAGAGAGGGAGAGAGACCTTAGCACAAACACCAGGTGTTTCCTCTTTTCCAGTATGTCTCACGCCGACTGCTGAACTTGACGTGACCCGGGCAAGCCCACTGCGCCGGGGGAGCAGGGACCTCTGCCCTGCCCCTCAAGCCCTGCAGAAGAAGAAGAAATAGAAGAAGAAGAAGAAGAAGAAGAAGAAGAGGAAGAAGAAGAGGGAGAGAGAGCCGGGAAGGTTGAGTGTGTTTGAGGTTGGAGTTAGCTGCTTGAGGAAACCCCCGCACTGTGTAGGGAAGCCAGTAGCATACCCGGCCAACGGAGTCGCCGGTGAAGACTTTCACCCAACTACACCCCCAGAGGGACGAATAGGGCAGACGACCCTAGAGAGGGGAAGGGCGGACAAATTTGGGGTTTCTCAGTGGGGTTAATTAAGCGTTTTTGTCGGGGGAACTCTTGAGACTGGACGTCGGGCGCGCATCGCGCGCGAGGGCTCTCCGGCCCCAAGCCCAGCAGAAGAAGAAGGACGAAGAAGAAGATGAAGAAGAAGAAGAAGAATAGAGAGAGACCCGAAATTGGAAGCCTTGCAGGCAAGTGCGATTAGCAATATGGGCAAGTGATCTCACACCATGTCCGGAAGAATAGCCCAGACTCTACCGGGGCAGCAGGGTACATGTGCTTGGGGGAAGGGACTTTCTTCGCGCGGATACATGTCTTACGCCGACCTTGACGTGGACAGGGCGCGCCTCGTGCGTGGAGGGTGCGTCCGTGCTCCCTTCAAGCCCCGAAGAAGAGGAAGAAGCCCCGAAACTGCCACAAATGCCGAACCCCTTGTGAAGAATCAAAAATCCCATACGTCCCACTTAGAGCCTGTCCTGAACCTACTCGATCCGCCTGGGGTTAGGGTTGTTTATTTACCCTATAAACCTTAACCCTAAACCCTAAACCCTCTCCGAGTTCCTCCACACATCCTCAGGCCAAAGCCATGATCCGCGACATCTCCATCAGCCTACGCACCGCAGCTGCCATCAGGTCGAGGTTTGGGGGTTTTGGGGTTTTGGGGTTTAGGGCAACCGACACATTGAGTAAAGTTTGAAAGCTAAAAAACACGCAAACGTACATTCAGGAAAAAAGGAGAATATTGAATATTTGTTATCAAATAAACATTCATTCCAGTAGGGTTCACTTGCAAGTGTGGTCTGTATTATGTGGTGGTCGGAGTGCCACCGCCGATTTGGGCTACTCCTGAAAGTGCAGTGGTCGAGTGCCATTGCCCCGTGATGGCCGTGATGCCACGAGAGCATTGCAGTTGTTCAGGCCTGACGTTGACTGAACCCAGAGAGAGAGAAAGAGAGAGAGCATATACTCCTAGGGGCAGCTCTCCCTTCGGGGTCGGGGGGGGCTAAGCGTGCAGAGAGAGAGAGAGAGAGCATATACCTTAAGGGGTTAATCGGGGGAAGACAGCACAGGCCCCTTTACCCCTTTTCACGGTAACCGCAACCATCGGATTTTCGGACTTCGCGCGCCCCTGGGGGCGGCTCTCCTCTTCGGGGGGGGGGGGGGGCCATGCGTGCAGGAGCAGGAGAGAGAGAGAGAGAGAGAGAGAGAGAGAGAGAGAGAGAGAGAGAGAGAGAGAAGAGAGAGAGAAGAGAGAGAGAAGAGAGAGAGAAGAGAGAGAGAGAGGCAGAGAGAGGGAGAGAGAGGGATAGAGAAAAGGAGAAAGGGCTTAGGGTTCAGGGTTTGGGGAGAGGAGCATGGATTGAAAAGGACTTAGGGTTGAGAGGGTTTATAGGGTTTAGGGTTGAGGGAGCCTTGGGGAGCAAATGAACCCTAAAAGGTTTCTTCATGGTTCAGGGTATATCCGATCCCAATTCTAGGGACAAGGACTAAGGAAGTTCCCTTGCAGACATGTCAAGCGCTCTTCGTTTGTTTTTGTTCTGGGGCCTTTTCTGGGGCTAGGGGTTCAGGGTCTTGTGTTGCAGGGGGGGAGAGAGTGGGGGGTGGGGAGGGTTCTGGGTTGCACGGACACTGGTGCGATCCTTGTTGCTTTTATGTACGCCTCTTGCGCATGGGGGTCGTACGTGACGAGGCAGATGTTTGCCTGGCTTGGGATCTTTTGGGGTTGCAGTTCTTCCGCAGTAGGGGCGTTGTAAGGCTTGGAATTTCCAGGTTGGGCTTTCAGGACACGTGTGCAGGAAGGGTTTGGGCACCGCCTGGCCGTCGTGGCCGGGTCTCCCTTTAAGCGTGCGCAGGAAAGAGAAGAAGCAGAGGGTTGGTTGCACGCACTCGTCGAGACTCGTGTGCCACCCGACTGGACCACCGGACAAACTTTTCGGGGTTTCGAGGGTGTGGCGCCGGCCTCGGGGATGCCCACCTTGAGACGCAGTATCAGAGAAGTTGTGCTCCCCAACACACGCCTTCTGAGAAGAAGAGGGGGGGAGGAGGAGGAGGAGGAGAAAGAGAAGCTTCTCCCTTGTGCCAGCTGACCCCCCAAGGTCTTGCCTGAAGCAAGGAGAAAACTGGACAAGCTTCTGGGGCAAGCGCTGTAGGTTGAAAGATGTTGAAAGTCTTAGATTCCGTGACCCCACAGGCCTTAAGACTTCCAGAGTACGCCACAGGCCTAAAGCTGAGATGTAGTCCCTATTATCGTAGTATGGGGTACATGATGCCCAATTGTAGTACTGTTGGTACATGGGGAATGGTGGAAATGGGGTGTCCCACATAACCCCTTAAAGGGTATAGAGTGCCCTAGCTCCCTCATTCCCTGCTAACCAGCAGTAACTAAACCCTAAACCCTAAACCCTAAACCCTAAACTCTAAACTCTAAACCCTAAACCTAATCCCTAAACCCTAAACCCCAAACCCCAAACCCCAAACCCCAAACCCCAAACCCCAAACCCCAAACCCTAAACCCTAAACCCTAAACCCAGGTGAAAATCAGCGCCTTGAGTCCTTGGATGCCGACGCCGGGCTGGACCAGGTGGTCCGTGGCACAGCTGAAAGGGGGTTTAGGGTTTACGGTTTAGGGTTTAGGGTTTAGGGTTTAGGGTAGGGTTCATCTACTATTTGCTTAAGAACCCCAAAAGAATAAAGAATAACAATTACTCTATTATAAGGAAGCGTAGCAAGACCCTAGAGGATGGCACGGCAGAGAGAGAGAGAGAGAGAGAGAAGGAAGAGTATGTTTTATTCATTATTTTATTTATTTTTATTTTATTTTATTTTTTTTTTTTTTTGGGGGGGGGGGGTTCTTAAGCAATTTTGTAGGAAAGGGTTCAAGTTCTGGGTTGGGGTTTGAAGGGCTCCCGAAAAAAAAACAGGCGCTTGCATTCGAGTATATACTACACATATCACGGCGCTAGCAAAATGTCAACGCAACCCCCGCCGGCAGACCATGGCCCATTCCTCCTCTAGCAGACCACAAAGGAACACCATAGAACCGAGAGTGCTATGCTTGCTGGAGCTCGAGCCCCGCAAGTGGCGACAGCGGAGAAACCTTCGCTCGCGCCAGAACTCCAGCAGTAGCAGTATGTAGCAGTAACACTAGCAGTTCTTGTGACGACTCGTCCGACAGCAGCGCCTGAAAAATGGTCCGCGCTAGCACCCTTTCTAGGAAATCATGCTTGGATCCTTCAAATGTCGCGTTTGCTACTCCATCTCAATCAGCTTCTTTTTCCTTCAGGACATAAGGCGGCACCGAGGGAGTTCCGATTTAACGTCAATTTCGGGAACAAGCATTTTGACAACAACCCATATACAAAAAATCTGTATTTGTTGTTTTTTCTGTCATTTCTAGTTGTTTTTTGTTTGTGGGGGGGGGGGTGCTTTTCATGTCTTTGTTGTGGGGAGGTTCTTATTCTTGCGCAGGAGACTCAGCTTTTCTTGCGGCTTCCGGAAGGGCGCTCGTCTACTTCTTGGGGGCATGGGTTTCAGAGGTTGCTCCCCTGGGGTTTACGGTTGAGGGTTGTGCCAATGCACTGCGGCAGCCAAGGTGAGCAGAAGCAGAAGAAGGAGAGGGTGTACACCCAGTGCCGCGAGCATCAGAACGTCATAGACACCTCTTACAGCTGCCCCTCGGATCTTCAGGTAAGCTCAAAGTCCTCAAAGTACTAGAGGGGTCGGAACAATTACGAATAGTATTCCCTTTTGGTCCCTATATAATGATGCTATAAACCCCCCCCCCCAAAGCCCTGTTCTAATTATTAAGGCCCCTACATTACGTATTTCGGGTAACTTCTGGGCGAAGTCTTCTCCAGCTCCCTAGCCTCGACCTGGGCCATGGGCCACGCACACAGAATGCGTGATCATAGAAGCCGAATCCACCTTCTGGGATGCTCCCCCTTGTACTAACAGTCCTTAGTAGGGATTATAGTACCCCCTATGAGAATCCCTATTAAGGACTGTTAGTCTTAGGGGGAACATCCCAAGGTGTAGTTGATTGGGCCAGCCTTTGTGTGCGCATGGGCCATGCTTCTAGAACCCGAGCCAGAACCGAATGAGACAAAGCACCACGTACCGCCGCCACGGTCCAGGCCCAGATCGTCGGAACCCAACAAAGTCAGGGCATCCAGGCAGTCCAGGCAAGAAGAACTTATTCGGGTTTAGGGTTTCGGGTTTAGGGACTCGCTCGAGCACAGATCTAAGTCGATGTTGCACGTGAGAAAGTCGGGCGCTGTGGTCCTAGGTCTGCAGGATATGGCCCGAGCGTCAAAGCAGACGGTGGACAGCATCACGCAGCTGACGCACCAGACTCCTAGCAGCACCCTGATGCTGGGTTGAAAATGCAAGCCCTTGCAACGCACCCTTTCGCCCTTGACCCTAAACCCTAAGCCTAAGGAGCCAGGAGCTCGAGTAATTGGGGATGTACAGCAAACAGGGAGGTCCAACCTACCCCCATTGATCCTCGGTGAGGCGATATAGGGGTACTGCAAACATTCAGATCAATGACGTGCGGCAAGAGTGGGGGCCTCGGACGGTGGCTCACGAAGGTCACACCTTAAGAAGAGGCAGCATGCGTAGAAGAAGGCTTCCGTTGGCTGGGCATTGAATGCTGGCAGTATCGACCCCGCCTGTCGAAACAGAGGTGTGGGTCTGTGGTACGTACTCTGGTGTCGGTTTTTGGGCAGAAGTTTATGAGCTGCCGGGTTCAGGGTTTATGTTGGAGCACCTGGAAGTGCCAGGCGTGCCCCCAAAGTCAAGGAAAACCCTAAACCCTAAACCCTCGTCCAGCTATGCGGGTGCCAGAAAAACCCCTACACCCTAAACCCTAAACCCTAAAACCCTAAAACCCTAAAACCCTAAACCCTAACCCTAAACCCTAAGCCCTAAAACCCTAAGCCCAAACCCTAAACCCTAAACCCTAACCCTAAACCCGAGAGTTTCGGAGTCGAGCTGCCAGGCTGCGTGCCAAGAGACCGCCCTCGGAGCTCTTCAAGGACCCCTAAACCTGCAACCCTCAACCCTGAACCCTGAACCCTGAACCCTAAACCCTATGCGGAGCTGCAATTGGTTTTGTAGAAAGGAGTTAGTGTTGGAAGTTGGAAGGGTTAATGAACCCGGTAATCGTATTTGGCTCAAGATGGGCTTGAACAGAAAGCCACAAGTTCAAAAAGAAGTGCCTGGGTTCTTAGGGTTTGGTAAGGGTGTGGGTTCCTTCCCCCTTTCCTTCCCCCCTGGGTTGCTCTTATCCGTGTTCTTGGTTGTTTCTTGGTTCGATCTGGGAAATATAAGTTCAGGGCGATTAGGGGAGTTGATTTCCTTCCTTGGTTGTCCCCCCGTAGGTTATGAGCCCAAATTAGGTTCCCTGCGGTTAAGTGTTCTTTCAAGGTTTTGGGATCAAGAAGCAATGCCTTCTCCGAAGCGATGGCTCCAACTTGCCTCGGATGGTGGACAAGATGGTGGAGCTGGAAATGGTGCAGCTGAGTCTCTGGGTGAAAGAGCGGTGTTGGAAGAGGTGATTCCCGACGCTGAAGAACATCTGGAAGAGGCCTTGGTTGCAGAAAGCCCCAATGTGGGTATGAATCCCAATAGGGATATGGTTAGCAATGCTGAAGCTGAAGGACGTGCTGTTTCTGTACCGCCAAAGCCTGGTGAAAAAAGGAACTGGGATGCGACTGGTGGCATAGATCGTGAAATGGAGGTGACTGTTTTACGAGTGTTACACAAACACGGGTACCAGCCGTCGTCTTCGACTTCGGGTCGAATGGTAGACCAAGAGTCTCAGACCGATCTGATTGGAGAAGTGCTACAAGCGACCAGGAGGCCGTTGAACAAGATCAAAAAGGGTCCATCTTCGAGTTCCCAAGGTGGTGGAAGCGGTCACAAACAGAAGGGTGCGGACGGCTTTGAAGCTGCACCTGCTGCTGAATACGCCATGGGGGAGGAGGAGATCCTACAGATGGAGGCTGAACGGTTGCGACAGCTGTCAGAAGAAGAGGACGAGATGCGACAGGTTTCTGAAAGGGACGGTTTTCGGAAAGACGAGCATCTGATCCAAGCGTGTGATGGCACAATGTGGGAATTGCACCTCCATGAAGATGGGAGACAATATTATTACTGCCTGGATACGCACGAAACCAAGTGGACATTGCCGGTGGTAGGTGAAAAGGTGAAGAGTGACGAGGTGGTTGGGTCTCCTTTGGGCAATGAGCTGGAAATGGAGGCGGCACTGGATTCTTCATCCTCTACTCCGAAGACTGAGTCTACGAGGGCATTCCAGGGTAGTGTAAATAGTTTAGGTGAAAAAGATTTTTCCTCTACTATCAGGGATAGCGGTCCTAGGGCTGATGGTGACGCCCCGACCTCGGGTTCTCCTGATGAGGAAGGGATTCCTGGGAACCAAGCCAACATCGCTGGAGCTCAACACCTGGATCGGGAAGAAACAGAAGCGCTTTCTGAGGGTGGGGCAGCGATGGAATTGGTGGATCCAGAAGAGAAAATGCCCAATGAGGTGATCGGAACTGTGTCGGCTGCAGAAGAGCGAGTGGTGGATGTGGTACCTGTTGTTCAGGAAGGTGGTCCTGGAGATTCGGAGGATGGAGAGAAAAAGTTGTGTGTTACGACTGAGGAGGTCTCTTCGTTTGGTGCCAAGAATTCTGCCATTCAAAGGGAAAAAGAAGCTTCTGGAATAGCTGGAGACACGGATGATCTGAAAAATGAGGCCTGGAGCGCCAATGATGCGCGGGTTGATGCGCCAGATATTACCTGGAGTGCGAAGGAAGCACGGGTTGAGGTGCATGTGGTGGTACGTTCCACGGGCGACTGCAACAATGGGGCGCAGGTCTCCGCAGCAGCTGATGATGGAGGTTCACAGGTGGACGCACTGGTGCAACCTGAAGTTAGCAGCGAGGAACGAAATGACAAGGGCTACACCGGAGCCAATGAGGCAGCTGTAGTCAATGATGGTGGAAATTCTCCTTTGGAGGCCATGGAACCAAAGGAGCCTGCGGTGGAAGAAAGCGTGCCTGCCGTGGATGATCGACTCAATTGCCCTGCAGTGGAAGAAGATTTGCCTGCTGCAGAAGGTGAGACAAAGGACTCCAATGATGGGTCCACTCCCATGAAGGGAGAAGCGTTGCCGTCTGGAAGTTCACCGGAAGTCGACACCGAGCGAACTACAGCAGATGAGGCAAAGCCGTTGGCGGAGAAAAAGGGAGGTCCTGAAATCCAGGAGCACAAAAAAGATGAGCTTGTGGGACTCGTGGAGCAGGACGAGCAGTGTGACCCAAAGGTGAAGACAAAGGATGCGCCAGGAGCCGATGATACAGAGATGGTTTCTGAAGAGCGTGTAAAGAAAGTGCCCCGAGCGGGAGCCTTGGAGTCACCTGGGCCACATTGCTATCAAGAGGGAGATGAGATCATGGGTCTAGTGCGCTGCATCAATGGGTATGGAGCCTTTTTGGACCATGGGGATATGAATGTATTGATTCCTGCAGAAGGGAACAATGCATATCAGTTCAAGTTTGGTGATACTGTCAATGGAACAGTGAAACGAGTGGAAGATGATGGTACCATAATCTTGGACACCTTTCTGGTTTTGGAAGAGGACGTGGAGGACTCTTCTTCGACGCTGCGGAAGTGGAAACCCAGCGGCTGGAGTACGTGGTGGACGGATTCATGGTATGCTGGTCAATGGTACCAAGATTCCAACGGTCAATGGGACTGGAAACAGGAGGAAGAGCAATCCGATGAAGAGCTTGTGGTACAGGAGTTGTCTTCTGAAGAACGAAAAGAAAGGCAACTTTATGGAGAAAAGATCTACAAAGCTCTTCTGGAGAATGGAAATGAAGAGGAAGCCTATGTTGGCAAAATTACTGGGATGCTGTTAGGTCGGCCGATGGAAGATTTACAGGAGTGTGTTGCGGATCAGGCATTCCTCAATGCGGAAGCTCGGCGCGCGTATGGCATCTTGCAAAATGATGGTTGGAAGCCTGATGGTACAGAAAGCACAGGCTTGGGGAAGTTAACCACTTTTTCCCGAAAACAGTACCACAACGCGCTTTTCGAACTGGCATGCAGAAAAAGGAGATTTTCTCGACCAGTTGTGGGTGCAACGGTGCTGAATCAAGGGGAAGATGAGTTTTGGAACGCGCTTTGGTTGGACACCAAGCTATTTTTGCAGGAGCTTGATGGTGCAGTGCAATCCATGAGCAAAAGGGAGAACAAGCCAATGGAAGCCTACATGGATCCTGACCAGTACAAAAAGGCTTATATGACACCAAAGACGGTGTTGTCACCTGGTTACAGCAAGCTGTGCAGGTTCTTCAATAAGGGAAGGTGTCGCAATGGCGATGGGTGTCCCTACGAGCATCGTCGGTACGGTGAAGGTTGGCCAGAAGGGGGGTCAACTGATCCAAAGAATAGCCAAGAAGCTGATGATGAGGACGGGAACATCGGTGACCCTCCCACAGAGGAAGGTACAGTGGATGAGGCACAGCAGGAGCAGGAGGATTTAGCCTTCCGGGCCAAGTACAATTTTGGCAAAGGTGCATCAAAGGGTGAGCCTACGTCGGGTGAGCCAAAAGGTCGGCTGTGTCTGTATTACAATCAAGGTGGTTGTAAATATGGGACTGCATGCAGGTACCTTCACAACGATGATGTAGCATTGGAAGGGACTTGGGAGCCCGGCAAAGCTTGGGACAATGCTTCCAGGAAGTCACTAAGGGACGCAGGGTTCCACCATTGCTGTTTCGATTATTACCTCAGAGGACGTTGCCGGAAAGGGTTAAATTTCTGCAAGTACTCCCATGACGAGATGTCAGAGGAGCGGCTGTCGCTCCTGAAACACTTGGTACAGGTGGCCAATCAGGTCCGGTTTGAAAAAGAGAGAGGATGGGAGCTTACGGATAGAAGCACTTTTCAGCCACCTGCGAGTGGGGGAGCTGAATCTTCCTCATCCTCGGCACCAAAAGCGCTGCAAATGACCAATGTGTCACAAAAAGATGGTGAAAAAGGATATTCTGGATGAAGTAGAAGCTGATGAGCAAAAGAATTCGGTGGCTGCATCCACTAGTACTCAGCTTCACAATCCGGAGGAGCCGATTGAAAATTGGATGGCTCGCAACGCACACCTGTGGGTGTATACCCCTCATGTAAGTGAGGTGATGATTACGCTTGGTGTGACCAATGTGTCGGACTTGCAAGAGTTCATCTTTGTGGAAGATTTGGTTGACAAAGGGATCAACAAAGTGACCGCATGCAAAATTCTGCAATTGGTGGGTGAGGTCCGATATCGACCGGGAGGACCGGAAAAGGCAGTTCCTTCTGATGCATCTGTACGGGTACAACAATCTTCTGGGAACAAAGGGACTGGAAGAGCGGCGGTGCGAACCCTCACTCAGGTGCGTGAAGCTGAAGACTCCGGTGCAAAAACTATGCCGAGAGGTTCCTATCGGGAGCTTTTTGATAAGGTCAGGTACCGTGATGGTTGGACGCTTGCACAGAGGTCTCCGTTGTGCGTACAGAAGCTGCGGTTGGTGGGAGTTGGAATGCCGCCGGTGAATCCACCAACGAAAAAGTATCGGTCAAGATCAAACCCTGTAAGAAGGGGAAGGCCCTTGCTGGACAAAAAACAGGTGCGACAGGTGCCACGATCTCGGTCACAACGACGAGTGCAACTGGCGGAAGTGGTGGAAAAACCGAAGCCCCTGGAGCCGGTGAAACCTCGTGGTGGTTTGTCGTATCCATTCAGCAGAGCGTGGGCAGATGTGGTGGATGATGATGACCAGGCGGAGGCTTTGGTCTCGTATGCCGCTTCCTCAAGCGATTCAAGCGAGGAGGAGACCAATGCGGTACAACGCCTGAAGGAACTCTTTTTGCAAGAAAGGGATTCGTGGAGAACTGCGAGTCGTGGCAATGTTCCACAAAGTGGTTCTTCAGGCTCCAATGATGGGCCGAAAAAATCGGTTCACCTTGGCGAAGGGCGCGACAAAGCGTCGCGGGGGGAGACCCGCCAAGAAGTGACTTCACAAGTTTTTTCGCTACCACAACCTTCTCGTCGAGCTGAACGGTCTCAAAAAAGAACAAGGGATGGTTCAGTTATGGTTGGTTCGCTGGCGGTGGGCTCCACGGATGAGGTTTTACCTGGGCAAGGTGCTGCTGGACAGGTGAATGTCTCTGAAAGCGCTCAAGTTCTTCCTGGGCATGAAGTGGCTGGACAGGAGACGGCGCCGGAAGGAGCAGTACAGATTTCTGGCGAGGAGACCGACCAAAAAGAAGGAGAAGGCGGGAGCAATGATCTCCGTGGTAATGATGCGAAGATGTTGGATGGTGGTCCGGTGAGGAGTGACCTTCAGCAATTGCTGGTGAAAGGCCTTCTGACTCGAATTTATTGGAAGGTTGCAGTTGGCAAGTTGCCAATGGGGCAAAGAGATTGCCAAAAAGGGTCCAATAAGATGGATCGAAATTTGGTTATTAGCATGTCATCCGAGGGTGCAAGCGAACAGGATGAGAACCTGGCACTGGAGGACGATGCTGATCAGTCAATGGGAGACGGTGCAATGGTTATGGTGTATGATCCAGGAACGCTGATCCAGTCGCCAACAACTGATTGGGTTATGCGTCGCGGTCTGACCGATCGTACCGTCTGGCCAGCAATGGCGCACCTGGCACAGAGGATATGTGCTGAAATGGTACAAGTGGATGAAATGAATGCCCAGCTAGGGACTGGAACACTCCTTTTTCAAAGGAGAGATCAAGGATATTATACTGACCTGCATCATTCGTTCCATGACAACCCGTGCTTGCCGGCGGTGGGGAATTACCCTCTTTCGGTGATGGGTGCCTTGTTGTCTCCTGGTCTGGAAGGGGAATTCAAGAATACGGACAAGTTTGGTACTGCTATGGAGGCAATTGCCTATGATTGGAGCCGCAGTCCAGGCATGGAAGTTCATATTGAACTTATGGCGAGGGTAGCCAAAATGGTTCACCCATTCCTGAATCTGGGAGCACAAGGGTCGGTGATGGTTTCAGAATTTCTCTGGCAGCGCGGGAGGGCTCGGTTGATGGAGTTTCTTCAAGCGGCGACTTGTGCGGACCAATTGGAGGCTCTCTGGAGAAGGATGGACGACGATGCGGATGAGGAGGTGGATCCTTCGACAGCGATGCTGGAAGTTCTTGGACTAGAGGATGCGGTGCTTGATCAAGGGAACAATGAATCCCTTATTCCCATTGAAGATGCTGGAGGTGAGACAAGCGGTGACACTGGAGGGAAGGGCAAAGCGCCAGAAGTTTCTCCGGAAGAGGAGAAATCCAGTGGGTCATCCAGACTGGCGGACACAAGGATTTTCTTGTGGTCAGTGTACTCCCGCGTGGCTTCGAATTTCTCTATGCAGGACCGCACTACTGGTAAGATCTTTGACAGCACCAAAGGATATCCTGGTGAAGGACCAAACAATGATGACAATCCTTCCTCTAAGGGGAACTTTCCCTGGATTTCAGAAGACTACCTCGACGAAGTGGTGTCAAAAAAGATGGAAAGGTCTTCAGATATGGATGGGTTTGTTCCGGGAAGTGAGGGATCATTGGAAAAGGTAGAGGTGGAGAATGTTACTGCCTCTAAAATTCTTATGGCTCTTTGGAAGAAGGGACATAGAGTTGGGTTTAGAAGGTTGCGTCGTTTGAATGCATCTGGATGCAAGGTTGGAGCAATGAAACGTCCAATCAAAAGGGTGCAGAAGATTGGCGCTAGGAAGGCCTTCATGAAGATGTTCAATGTTTTTGGATCGTCTCAGCATGGCTCAGGAGTTGGCGGAAAACCGATCATGAAGGTGGTAGGACCAAGGCCAGGTTTTCCAGCTGTACTCCAAGCACCAAATACTGATAGCACGTCGGGTGAAGGGAGCAGTCCCCAGGTACATGGCAATGTTCATGTAGAGCACAATCGCCCTATGGACCGGTATGAGGCAGAGCGCTTGGAGAAGAGGAAGAAGGGTTTCTGCTATTGGTTCGGCAGGGGGAAAGATCGCTGCAAATTCGGTGACGACTGCAAATTCATCCATTCCGAAGATGATGTGGTGCTACATTCATATTGGTGCAAATACTATGTGGCAGGGAGAGAATGTTTCGCTGGAAAGGATTGTGGGTTCTCGCATGATGCAACTGGTGTGAGGTGCGTCCAGTTTGCTCGGTCTGGGAAGTGTCGATTTGGTGACAGGTGTGTCTTCGAGCATGGTGTTCCGTTGGAAAAACAGAGGCCAAGGTCTCCAAGGACGCCCCCAAGGGATGGTCCAAGGAGAAAGTCTGGTGCAAATGGTGGAGAAAAGGAGATCCCTCCTGAACAGTTCGATGATGATGAGGAGGATTTTATGGTTTATGACGAAGAGACCAAGATGACGGAACTGTTGATGGAGGCGATTTCATTTCTCTCCGGTGGCAAGCCAGATTTGGCTCGAGCAGAGGCGGACCCATTGTTCAAACTCCTGAAGTTCACTGGAGATGCTGACCAAATGGATCAAGTATGGGTTTCGTGGACCACTGAAATGTTGTCCGTGCTGGAACTTCTCGAAGTAGTGAAGTCGTATGAGGTTTCGCTCGCGGAGGTGGAAGAATGGGTCAATGACCTGAGGATATGGTATGAGCGAGCCAATTTGGGAGAGGAAAAGGATCCCAAAAGAGGTAAAAAGAGATCCCTAGAAAGGGAGTCCAGCAAGGATATTCCTGCCGAAAAAGGAGTGGTTGAGACTTCGGAGACGGAGGTTGCCGTTGAAGAAGAGAAGAAAAAGGTAAAAAAGAAGAGGAAAGCTGCAGCTATCGAAGATCCTTACACTCTCATGGTTCCAAAGCCGAAGAAGATGCCGACGATCATTGAGAAGGGTGGATCAACATCCAATGTGGTGGCTTCTGCAGTGGAAAAATCCTCGAAGACGCGCACAAAGTCAAATGTCGGTGGAAAGACAAAGAAGAAGGAGAAAAGTCAGAGTCCCAAAAAAGAAGAGGTGGTAATGGTGCAAGATCCTGAGGAAAAGGATCGTCCATCCGATGCGGAGGCACCAGGGTCTGCCAATGCGAATGAAGAGCTGGGTCAATCTTGCCAGGCGATTGAGGACGCAAAGAGAGAAGGATTGGTATCCTCAATTCAAAGGGGCATACAGGATCCTATTCTTACGATTTCGGACCTGGAGTATATTCTGCTGCAACTTCACCTCAAGATTGCCAACAATCGGAAAAAGAAGTGATTGGATGGTATGGATGAAGGGATGGTTTTTCTCTTTCTGGAGACCGGTGCGCTGGAACAGCCAATGTGCTGACAATGTGGCGGTTACTATTAAGGGTATGGAAATCCCTGATAGTAGGAGTCAGTAGCTTTTCGCGTAGCGAAGACCACGGTTTGTGGTGAAGAAGGCCAAGGAGTCTTCAGTGATGAGAGGATCAAGGTGAAAAAAGATTCTCTATGGGTAGTAGGTTAGCCAATGTGCTATAATTCCGTCCTGGAAGACGTTAAACCACAATTTGCATTTCAAGCAGCTGGCTGCTGCCGTAATGGCAGTTTTTGGCCAAAAGATCTGCATCTCCAATGTGTCCTAGGAAATCCTAGGACAGGGGGAGTGCGGAGCTGCAATTGGTATTGTAGAAAGGAGTTAGTGTTGGAAGTTGGAAGGGTTAATGAACCCGGTAATCGTATTTGGCTCAAGATGGGCTTGAACAGAAAGCCACAAGTTCAAAAAGAAGTGCCTGGGTTCTTAGGGTTTGGTAAGGGTGTGGGTTCCTTCCCCCTTTCCTTCCCCCCTGGGTTGCTCTTATCCGTGTTCTTGGTTGTTTCTTGGTTCGATCTGGGAAATATAAGTTCAGGGCGATTAGGGGAGTTGATTTCCTTCCTTGGTTGTCCCCCCGTACCCTAAACCTCTCTTCATATGTATATATATATATATATATATAAATATATATTTAAACCCTAATGAATTCGTCGAATACGCCAAGTCCTTCGTCGAATAAGCCAAGTCCTTCGTCGAATAAGCCAAGTCCTTCGTCGAACAAGACAAGTCCTTCGTCGATAAGGCAAGCCCTTCGTCGATTAAGGCGAGTCCTTGGATGAACATTTCATATTTTCTTAATGTTATGGGACTCTTTGGGCGGGCGGGTTTTTTCCTAAGCCTGGAACCCCCTAATGACTATGAATGCTAGAACAGTGACCCTCTAGACCCTAAACCGTAAACCCTAAGCCCTAACCCTAAACTGAAACCTCAAATTAGGGTCGTCTACCCTATACTACTATACTTCCAATTGAGGTATATGAGCCATAAACCCATTTAGGGTGCATTTGGTCCCCAGGGACTGTGCCAGAAGCGCCCGCAAGAGCCTGAAAGAGCCCCAAAAGGGTGAGATTATCAGGGTTTTTTACCGTGAGGAGAACGAATGAACCATTTTGCAAGCGAAATGAACATGGTGAACAAAGCGCGTGACAGTAAATTAGTGAAAGAGCGAACGAAACACAAACCGCATTAACATATATAGAAAGGCCAATGAAAAGAACTAAGTAAAATGGCCTTTTCCGAAAGATAGGAAAGTTATTGGGAATTCCAGGAATTAAAAGAACCTGGAAAGGATGGATTCTTCATGACATAACATTTGAGAAATGCATTGGGGAAGAGTTAGGAAGAATACCAATGAATATTAAATGTAAATGAAAAAGAGAATGTGTTCTAGAGGATGAAAGAAAAGTTTTTCTTAGTGCCCACAGTCCTGCCCCCATTAAAATATATTCCAGAGAACATACTGTAGTGCTGCAAGCGTCCGGGCAAACAAGGTGCGAACCTCTGAAAAACGCAACCCCCGTCAGCCCTGAAGCCCAGGGAGATGATCCCCGATATGGTCGGTGCTCTAAATCATGGTACATGTTTGCTTGGGGTACCCGACATAGGCAATTTTAAGTGAACCTTCTGCTGCCGTCCACCCTGCGTGATTTTCCCAGGGTTCAACCGGCCAACCAGCAAAGTCGTGTCCTAACCCCACAAGTCCCCGGCCCTCAAGCTCTGCCTTGCCTTTTAAATACGTAAGGCTTAGTAGTAGAGTAGGTAACCTTTAGCCTTTTTGGGTTAATATATTCCCCTTATATTCCCAAAGGTTAACCTTTAAAACCCCTAGGTACTGGACAACTGAGAAGGTTTTGGGGCATTGGGGTGCCAGGACATCTTAGACGAGGCCCTGGAGGACGAGAAGGCGACCCTTCTGAAGCAAAGAGCTCCTTGGTCCTGAGCTTCAGGGGCCTGGAGGTTTAGGGTTTAGGGTTTAGGGTTTAGGGTTTAGGGTTTAGGGTTTAGGGTTTAGGGTTACCGCATCCCTGCCTGGCCTGTAGCAAAAGAAGCTGTGTCAGTAGTATGATATACGAGTATATATATATATATATATATATATGGCATGTGGCGCTGTCATGTGCTTAGAGTTAAGTGTCTCATGTGATGCGCAGAAATTCGGGGGCCTCTTCCAAGGAGGTGCTCCTCGCCATGGAGAAGGAAGGCCAGCGCATCCGGATTCATCTTGGGTTAACGTTCCACGTTCCTACACCCATAAGCCCTAAACCCCAAGCCCAAAAAAACCTAGTGAGAGGCAATCCAGGCAGCAGCCGAAGTGGAAGAAGGGAGCTAGCCAGTTCATGAGTCGAAGCAATAAGAAGCATGGAGGAGCGAGTTTAGGTAGGGTTCGGGGTTTAGGAGACCTTTCAGTTGACGAATGGAGTGACGGGGGGGGGGGGGTAGCGACAAAGAAGACAGCTGAGGGCTCGCACTGCGTTCCTCGGTAGGCCCATGGGAATTATATTTTCCCCTATTGGGTCTAAGAGGATCAGGATCATATTCAGGACCCTGAACCCTAAAACCTGAACCCTACACCCTACACCCTAAACCCTAAACCCTAAACCCTTGTTTGGGCCATCCTGGGTTCGCGTTGAGCTGGGATCTATTGTGTGGCTGGCCTTAGGTGTTTCTGGAACACGGTTTGGGCAGAGCACCTGGTTTGATGCGGTTTAGGGTTTAGGGTTTAGGGTTGAGGGTTTAGGGTTTAGGGTTTAGGGTTTAGAGAACCTGCTCAGCACAGCACGGTAGGTAGGGCCTCATCTCTTACAGAGGCTGGGCATTTGGGGTTGGGAGTCTAAGTTTAGGTTCTTTCCGGATGCACAGCCTGTCCCGGAGGCAAGCAGATCATCCAAGAGTTGGAGGACAACCGGTCGGTGCTTACTGGGAACAGTGGCGTCAGGCGGGTCAAAATGCTTCAGGACATCAGCTGCCTGGACTGAATTGGGACATTGTCAATATGGGAAGCGAGTTTTGCTTACCCTGGTTCCGAGCTTTGCAAGGTCATAGTTCTCTGCGCGCCCAAAAAAACCAGAAGCATTCTGAGCCCAGCACCTTAACCCGAAGCCGTTCAGATCTACTTTAGCTTAATCCCTGTAAATGCCCTCAGCTCCTCTAAGCCCTAAACCCTAAACCCTAAACCCTTCTGCACGTCTTATGGTTTATGGTTTGGTTAAAGCTTATGTAGTAAAATTCACTCCTCCTACAGATAGCTGATCCGAACACTTCTTCAATGTCGGGGCGCCTCTCTGAATGTGTCAAACCCATGGGTTTAGGGTTCAGAGTTTAGGGTTTAGGGTTACAAACCTTCTCTTCGTACAGTTTGCCCAAGTTGCCCTGCAGTGACTGGCGGAAAGGTATAAACCTAAAGCAAGCATCGCTGTCAACTTCTAGACCCTCAAGAAATCTCAAGATTTCTACAAGCCCTACAAACCCTAGCGGCCCTAAACCCTAAACCCTGGCCGCTGAGTTTTGGCAGCCGTCAGTGCCCTGCAGTGTGTCTGAGAGGTCATCCCTGACCGAGGTTCTTTGAACCAGAAGGCCCTATATACCCCATCAGCCCTATATACCCTAAAAGCCGTTTGTACCCTACAAGCCCGAAACGGCCCTAAACCCTGAACCCTGACCGAGGTTCTTTGAACCAGAAGGTTAAGGAACTCCAGAAGACCAATGAGGACACCAACCTCCCCGATGACGGCCAGCTGTCGGAGGACTTCCAGGGCTTTTCAAGGGCCTTGAGGGTTTAGGGTTTAGGGTTTCGGGTTTCGGGTTTAGGGTTTAGGGTTTAGGGTTTAGGGCGTGGCTGACTGGCAGGCTTTGAAAGGGTCTGGCATGGAACTCTATTTACCTACCGTTTAGCAGCAACTACCCGGTTCGGGCCGTTCCTCCCGCGCGCTCGTGCAGGACACGAAGCAGATGCTGGATTCCACTTTTGGACTCCTCCAGAGCGACTCGCTTTTGGGGGGTTCAAGGGCACCAGCCCCTGTCTGAAGCATGCTGCTCCCGTTAGGGTTTAGGGTTTAGGGTTTAGGGTTTAGGGTTGAGAGTTTAGGGTTTAGGGTTTAGGGTTTAGGGTTTAGGGTCATCTGGTCATGGAGGGTTTGAGGTTGGTAGCAGCCCCACAGTCCCCCAGCCACCCCCTAACGCCCGGAGGCCCAAAGCCCCAAAACCCCCAAGCACAGCAAAGGATATCGGAACCACCGGCGGAAGACCCTGAGCATAGTGGAGAAGTTTAGTGCCGAGCGGGCCCCTTGCTCAGCACAACTCGCGTTTCAACAACGTGTGGGGGCATGTGGTGGGCCTATCATGGTTCAGGTGCTTTGCGACGTTTTGGGTTGACCTGGGACCCTCTTTACCTACAGTTTCATGGGTTATACCATGTTATACCTACCAATTGAGGGTACCTACTCCTAAACTGTAGGTAAACAGAGTCCCTGCGAGTTAACGCGCCCTCTTCTGCACATCTGGATGCTTTTTGGGCCGAGAATGGAATGGCATGATTGATGCAACTTGAGCAGCAGAGGTTCTGGAGTTCCTTTTGCTGTTAGGTTACGAGTGCCCCCGGATGTTTGAATGTGTTTTTCGAACAGCTACGTAATGCTCGTCACCCTAAACCCTATACCCTTTACTCTATCCCCCAAGCCCTAGCCTAAAACCCTGAACCCTAAGCTGTCCCAAGACTCAGCAGGGCCCAACCTCTCCTTCTCCCCAATAACCAACGAGCCCAGGACGCCGCTGGGGCCTCAGGGACCTCGGCCAAAGGGATTTAGGGATGATTTAGGGTTTAGGGTTTAGAGTGTAGGAATTTCGGGCTTCCTAGCTGATCGGCAGCGCCTGGTTTCAAACAGATTTTAAGGGCTTAATTTGGGCGTAGGGTTTAGGAATTTAGGGCTTAGTTTGGGTTTAGGGTTTAGGACTTTAGGGCTTAACTAGGGCTGAGGGTTTAGGAATTTAGGGCTTCATTTGGGTTTGGGGTTTAGGGTTTTCCAAGCTTTGGATTCCGGAGGCTGCACAGGACCAGGGACCAGGGCTCAGGGTTGCGAGCTTCGCTGTTTAGGGGAAATTGGGTTTAGGGTTTAGGGGCCTTGAGTGTCACAGCCTCCAATGTGTCGTGAGGCTACTTAGCTTGGTTTTTGCACCATCGCGCGAACAGATTGAGGGGGGATCCAACGCCCAAGCCTGCGTGAACCTGTCGGAAAGTTCCTTCAACTGCAACCCCATCCTGAAACCTTAAACCCTAGACCCTAAACCCTAAACCCTAAACCCCACACCCGATAGATTCCCAAGCGCCCAAAGGCCAAGACTCGAACCGAATCTGCCCTGACGAAGCGCATGGAGCAGCTGTCGGAAAGGACCGGGGCTCATCCTTTAGGGTTTAGGGTTGAGGTTTCAGGTTTAGGGTTTAGGGTGGATTCCTTCCCCGAACCCCTACGGCCGTGAACCCTCGGTTGGAGGGCAAGAGACGACAGGTCCCTCATGACTGTGCATGTACTGCTTCAAGATCAAGGTCAAAGGTTCCCTCCCTAAAGCCTAAACCCTAATAATCCTAAACCCTAAAACCCTAAACCCTAAAACCCTAATAACCCTAAAACCCTAATCACCCTATAAACCCTAATAACCCTATAAACCCTAAACCGCCCTCGCGCACAGCCCTCCACGTCACCACACCCGCGGGGAGATGCCTCTCTCGAATGGTTTCAGCCCACCTAGGCACCCTACGCAGCCACCCGAAGCAGGAGAGTCCAACAACAAACCTTTAGGGTTTAGGGTTTAGGGTTTAGGGTTTAGGGTTCAGAGTTTAGGGATCAGATCCCCTGTAAGAACCCGTGTTCCATGCACTTGAGGGTCCCAAAAACAGTGCCGTAATTGGCTTGGATACCTCATGAGAGCACGTCCTGTGCATTGTTTAGGTTCCCCCATAATTAAGAGGCCATTTAGGGATAATTAGGCCTAACTCAGGTTAAAGGGGGGGCACCTAGGGGGAAGGGGGGGGCTAGTATAGAGGCGGGTCAGGAGGGGAACCCATGATTAGACCCGCAATCCCTGCCTGGGTTGCACAATTCTGTTTGGTCTCGAACCCCTCTGCCTAACACCCCCAACAGTCCCTAAGTGCCTGCACGAAAGTGCCCTAGAGCCTTGTTCAGTGCAGTCATCAAGTCCGTTTTCAAAAAGGGGTAGGAGAGGATCCCTGCAAGTCTGCTGCAAAAGGGTCTCGGGGTAAGTCTATAGGGCTTCGGGACAACAACAACCTTTATAATGCTGCAGCTCCCCACTGCTCTTCGACTGGAGAGTTTAGGGTTTAGGGTTTAGGGTTTAGGGTTTAGGGCTTGAGAAGTTGGCGCCCCCACCGAGACCGCAAGCAAAAAGGGTCTGGGGGGGGGGGGGGGCCTTCAAAGATCCCGAAGTTTCGAGAAGTGACCCCCTAAACCCGAAACCCTCAACCCGAAACCCTAAACCCTAAACCCTAAACCCTAAACCCTAAACCCTAAACCCTAAACCCTAAACCCTAAACCCTAAACCCTAAACCCTAAACCCTAAACCCTAAACCCTAAACCCTAAACCCTAAACCCTAAACCCTACCCCCCCCCGCCCTGCTTCAGGAAAACCGAGTTGGACTCCCGACTTCGAGAGCTGCGCACGACAGTCACCAAGGCCCACCTGTTGCGACTTTCCAAGATCCGAGATTTACAAAGGCTAGCGCGAAGCCGCAGGAAATATTCCCTGGCTGAGTTTAGGGTACTAAGAGTCCTTGATTGGGTTTAGGGTTTAGGGTTTAGAGTTTAGGGTTGGGATTATAGTCGGGGGTATTCTACATCCCTATTCAGGACTGTTAGTAAAATGGGGGACATCCCATGTTTGGGGTGTGTAGGCCTCACAAAGTCCGCGGCTCAGAAGGGTTAAGGCCTGAAACCCAAACCATGGATGTGTGTATGCCGAGGCATCTCAAGGCAAAGGCCTCCGTCAATGCAACAATCGTCGCATCTCAAATGCCCCAGGATTGTTTTGCAGGGGGCAGACTCATAACAAAAACCGTCCATAGCGAGGCAAAGAGCCTTGCCGAACTGAAGTCAGCCACGTGCGCGAGCGGAAGAAAGAAAAACTCAACCCAAGAGACACTGACGCGAATCGAGCGCTCGCAGGCTGAGCGGGAGCTCGATAGCTCCTTTAGGCAACTCGGACCTCACCAGTTGAGGTTTAGGGTTTAGGGTTGAGGGTTTAGGGTTTAGGGTTTAGGGTTTAGGGCAAGTTTAGGGTTTAGGGTGCTTGCAAAGATCGTAGCACAGCATGCTGCGGCCAGGAAGACACCGAGGGCCATGGATGTCGGAGTTGGGGCTGGGCTACTATAAGGGGTCGGAATAGTTACCAATGGTGTTCCCTTATGGTCACTTTTTTTGAATATAAGGGTTTAGGGTTAGGGTTTAGGGTTTAGGGAATATACTATAATGACCCCAAAACCCTGTTATAATTATTCAGGCCTCTCTATATTAGACCTCCCTCGCTCTGTGCCCCTCAAAACGACGACTGAGGAAGCTCGATCCCAAGGATACGAGCAAAGCGGCGCCTGTGCTCAAAGGTGTACCCTAAACCCTTAACCCTAAACCCTAAGCCCTAAGCCCTACACCCTAAACCCTAAACCCTAAACCCTACACCCTAAACCCTAAACCCTGTGCTGGCGAAGTTCCACTGTCTTACCTTTACCTATACTTGGGCTAGGTGTACCTCGTTTGCCGTAGCCGCGAGAACAAGGTGAGGCCCCTCGAAGGCATGATAGAATAAGTGCATGTCTACCGGCCATTGGGGGTAGCATCGCACACACACATTGATCTCGCGATCCGCGTAGTTGCTGAGAACGTCGCAGTGCGATCTTTTTCCTTCAGAGACTGCAGTCGAACTCTTTGTATCCCTGCAGTGGCTGCTAGAAGGAGCTGGTGCTGCAGAAACCCTAAACCCTAAACCCTATGAGCATGGGTGCGGAGGTTCGCCCTTTGAACTGGAAGGGACTTAGTATGAGGATCCGAAGAGAGGTCGCTTTTTGGAATTCAGGGCGCAGCTGACACCATTTTTTGGCTTAAACCCTAAACCCTATGTTCACAAGTTGCTCTTGCTGCAGCCCAAAAACCCCATGCATGGGCTTGGCGGGGTTCGGAGCCTTGCAACCCACGAAATTTCTGAAGCTTCCAAGGAAAAGCTGGCCGCCGATTCGGAGCTCCTGTCAAAGCTTTCTCGTCTGCGCTGGATTGACTTCCGATGTTGTTTATTTTTTGGGGTTTCGGTGGTTCCTGGTCCTAAACCCTAAACCCTAAACCTCATGGTCTGGAACGCCTTGCAGCGAGTCCTCAGGTCAACCACAGCAGGGTGTAGGGCTTGGGGTTGAGGGTTTAGGGTTTAGGGTTTAGGGTTTAGGGTTTAGGGTTTAGGGTTTAGGGGTTAGGGCTCTCAGTCCGGCTGCAAAAAGGGTTTAGGGTTTAGGGTTTAGGGTTTAGGGTTTAGGGTTTAGGAAGCAAAAGCCTCGAACGCTCAGAAGCCCTGGGCTCAGTTGTCGATCAGGCTACAGATATGGTTTTTGCTGTTTCTGGGTTTTGGCCGGGTCTCCAGCAAGAAGGGAGGTGTGCCAGCGCAAATCGCTAGGCTCAACCCTGGTATGGGGGGGTTCTCTACACGATGGCCACAACTAAAACCTAAACCCTAAACCCGAAACCCTACACGGAGCCTTAAATGAAAGGAGGGCTGCCCATATAAGCTTCGAGCCTAGGGCTCTTGGGCGAATGATCTCTCTCTTCTGGCTGGTTCTTGGTAGGGAAGGAGGGAATGAGGTAGACAAGTAATCCCTTAAAGGGTATATAGAGGGTCCCTCATATTCCCTCATTCCCTACTAAGAACCAGGGGGTCTTTTGGTCAAGTCCCTAAACCCTAAACCCTAAACCCTAAACCCTAAACCCTAAACCCTAAACCCTAAACCTAAACCCTAAGCCCTAGACCCCAAAGTGCCTTGGGAACCTGGTGCTTGCAGCCCGAGGTTGCGCAAGATGAGGGATAAGGTCGACGAGGCCCAGAGTGCAGTTTCGCTGGAGTCCTGGGATCCATGGGGTTGTATTCAATAATGTAAGTAAACATGGGTTGTATTTATTATATTGAGTGGTAATGGGGATGGTCCCACCTTGTACCAGCAGTCTTTAGGAGGGATTATTCGTGGGACATCCCAAGTCATGGAGTTGGAGACCCCGATTGCCCTAAACCCTAAACCCTAAACCCGCGAAACCCTAAACCCTAATTCGCAAGAAACCCGGGCACCGCAAAAACGTTGGGTCTGGGCCGGTGTTTCTCCGGACATCGTCGACCTCGAAGCCGCCATTGAGGGTTTAGGGCTTGGTTCCTATACCCTCATAGGGATTAAGTATAGTACGTAGAACAGGGTATATGACGCCCAATTTTCGGTTTCATCTGGTCCCCAAGAAGTAATAGGAACAATAGCACAACTAGTACTAGTAGTAGTAGTAGTAGTAGTAGTAGTAGTAGTAGTAGTAGTAGTAGTAGTAGTAGTAGTAGTAGTAGTAGTAGTAGTAGTAGTAGTAGTAGTAGTAGTAGTAGTAGTAGTAGTAGTAGTAGTAATAGTAAGAGAAGTAAATGTAATACTAGTAAGTAAGTGAGCGAGGGTTGACCAGCACTCACGGTGCGGCCTACCTCCCAGATCCCTCTCAACATCTCAGAGGGGCTGCGCAAGAGTCATCGCCCCCCTCCGTCCCAGCGTTCAAGCGGGGGAAATAACTAGCTAGTGCAGACAGGTCACTATGTAGGGTACATAATTCGAAACCAAGAATCGGAGAGACATAGCCCTTGATGAGGGATAAAGCGCGTACGCACCAAAGAACACAGCAAGTAACCGGCAGACGCAAAGAGTAGGGGGCGAACCGGCCAGTGCCGAGGGAGCGAAGCTCCACAGAGGGCACAAGGCGACCCAAAGCCGCGCGCCACGGCGGGATCTGAGGGAACACTGTTCCAGCACCGAGGGCGAACACGCCACCAATCAGGTACACTAAAGGAGCATACATGCCAGGCCCCTCAAATGGAACATCATAGAAACTGCGCATACACTGTTAGCATGGCAACGTGCGCGTGCTGTCTCTGTCATTGTTACGAGTAAATGCTGGATTGCAAGGGTCACAACTTGATGTGTACCAGTAGAATGCTGATGAAGGAACCTCCTGTGCAGATGAACGTGAAGTACAGTGTGCCTGCACTCAACAGCAATCAAAGTTGCCAGAAAGCAGCGTAATCCACTAACGATTTTGAGCCTTTGAGAGCGCGGGGCGCCCTTCGTCCACATGATGCAGGCACATCGGCGCAACCCTAAACTCTAAACCCTAAACCCTAAATGGCGTGGCGCCGAAGGGAAACATGTCGCCCTAGCAGACGGGAATGCAGGGAAGGTGAGGGGGAGATTGGGCCCCACCCTGTTCATGGTAAGTAATAGTAAGTAATGGTAAGTAATAGTAAGTAATAGTAAGTAATAGTAAGTCATAGTAAGTAATAGTAAGTAATAGTAAGCAATAGCAAGTAATAGTAAAATGATAAGTAATCGAAATACTAGTCATAATAGGAGTAATAGCAATAATCGTAGCAATGGTAGTAATCGTAGTACTAGTAAGAACAGCACTAGCACACACAAAGCAGCATCATGAAACTCACAAGTCGGCTCTTCGCTGTCCTAGATTTCTAAATATGCAGCCGGGTTTAGGGTTTAGGGTTTAGGGTTCTGGTAAACCCTAAAACCCTCAGAAGCGAGAAACAACTCGAAACCAGGAAGCCCCAAACCCCAAGAGGGCAAGATCAATGAAAGCCCCGGAAGCCACGGCTGAGAGTCACGCTAAACCCTCATAAACCCTAAACCCTAAACCCTAAACCCTAAACCCTAAACCCTGAGCATCCGCGCGCGCCAGGATTTTCGGGCCAAGTGTGCAGCTCTGGAGATCGACTCCACTTGCAAGCGATCCATGGCTCAGTTGTTTCGGTGCCGCAGGGAGTTTAGGGTTTAGGGTTTAGGGCCCAGCTGATAGTGCAGAGCCCGGGTTCCAAAAAAGGGTTTAGGGTTGCAAAAGGGATCTGGTGCGAAATGCACTAATGCGTCGGGTCCAGCGAGTTGTTGCTGCACCACGGGGTTCGCAGGGCCCGAGATGCTGAGGGCTCTCCAGATTCAGGGCGGCACCTTGGGGGCATCTCTTGTTGAACCCAAAACCCTAAACCCTAGAGTGGTTCGTCCACCTATGCGGGTGCCAAAGAAAACCTAAACCCTGAATCCCGGGAACCCTACGCCGAGGTGTCAATGCAGCGAAAGCTGGAGAGGCAAAGTTGAAGAAGGACCTGAGCGCGCGCGAGCAGCTCGTAAGTCAGGGTTTGGGGTTTTATGGGGTTTGCAGGGTTCCTGGGACCCTATTTGCCTACAGTTTGGTAGTAAGCACCCCCCCCCCCTTTTAATACAAACATGGTAGGCTCTCAATGACGGCCCAAGGGCAGAAGGAACAACCCCAAGGATGCTCAAAACCTTCCCTCCAGATGTGTTTAGGGGTCGGAGGGCTTTTGGAGTTATCCTTTACATTCCGGAACAAAAGCAGTTTAGGGTTTAGGGTTTAGGGTTTAGGGTTTCAAAGGGTAACTTTCCTAGGTAGGATTAGGGGGACCCTTAAAGGGAACCCTTCTTAACCCTTTGTCTGGCTCTCTTCAACAGGGACCTTATTGAGAGGGTCTGCATCCCGCAAGGGTTCCCCCGAATGCTATCCCCTCAAATTATCGGTTTGAAACGCCTAACCCTAAACCCTATAAACCCTATAAACCTCTAAAACCCTAAACCGTAAATCTGGCCCTGCAGGAGACCTCGATGCTTCGGATGAAGAGTGCCGCCAACCTGAAGTCGCCCGGCCAGCGAACTGAAGGGGTCCTGTGTAACACGCCGGACGACTATGATTAGGGCTTAAGGTTTCGAAGGATTTGGGGTTCAGGGGCATAAGGATAAGGATTAGGGTTCAGGGCTTACAAGGCTTCAGAAGGCTTTGGGGTAGGATATGAGTCCGCCTAATTTCTGAATCAAAATTGGCAGCACTTTAGGTGTTAGGAGTCCGCACCCTGTCGATGCAACGTAGGAGTCTAGGGTTTGGGGTTTACGGTTTAGGGCTACTTGGACAGCTGTGGAATCCGGCAGAGCTCGCGGGGTCAAAAGGGTTTAGGGCTTAGGGCTAGGGTCTAGGGTTTTAGGGTTTAGGGTTTGGGGTTTAGGGTTTAGGTTTTAGGGCTAGGGTTTAGGGTTTAGGGTTTAGGGTTTAGGGGTTAGGGGTTAGGGGTTAGGGGTTAGGGGTTTAGGGTTCAGGGTTTAGGGGTTTAGGGTTTAGGGTTTAGGGTTTAGGGCAGCAGGGTCTTATACATTTTAGATGATGTCACTATGGAACGGGTGACGCAACTAGCCTTGCAGTCACGAGAACTGTGAAGCTGGTTGTGTGAGCCTGACTTTCCCGGCAGCTGTGCAGACCTGGTTGTTAAAAGGGTCTTATGGGGCTTCAGCCCTCCGAGGAACAATGGCCCGCCAGGGGCGCAAGAGCTGCCGGCGCGGCCAGACAGCGCCCCTGGAGCCTCCAGGACCTTAGGGCTTTAGGGTTGAGGGTTTAGGGGCTGTAGGCTGCAAAAAAGGGGCTGTAGGCTTTAGGAGCTTGAGGGGGTTGAGGGGCTGGAGTTTGCAGGTGACGAGACCTTGGGGGGTTTTTGAGGGTTCTAATTAGGGGTTTTGAGGGGTTCTAGGGGTTTGGGATCTATGGTTTAGGGCTGGGGTTTCGGGGTTTTGGAGTGCTTACCTGGCATTCGACACGAGGCTGGATGTGGCAGGGTTCTGTTAGTCTGCAGACCTACCCACCTCAAGACCGCCCAACCACAACTCTCATGGAGTTGAGGCCTTAATTTGTTACAAAGCAACATGTACTCTTCATGCAGGGTGGTCTAGACGAAACTCGAAGTGGCGTCTTGAAGGGATCCTAGTGTCTGCCCGTCGGTCACTCATGAGTGTTGGAGTTCGCGAAGTTTTGCGCCGCCCTCGTAAGGAGGGGTGGTTGAGTCTGGTTCTGCGCCGCCCTCAGAAGTAGGAGTGCCTGTAAGTTGCAGGGAGGCTCGATGTCACTTGGGCACTTGGGCCAGTCACTTCGTGATACGCAGACACTGGGAACACTTGTGTCACTTGAGAACTTGGATCACTTAAATCATTTGCGACACGCAGGTCGCTTGGCTCACTTTAGGATGCGTGACACCCTTTCGTCACCACTGGGAACATTTGTGGTTGTTTGCGTCACTGGAACACTGCATTCACTTGGGACACTCGGGTCACTTGGGTCACTTGAGACAGTGTTACAAGGTTCACGGAGACCACTTGGGTCACTTAGGTCCTTGTACGTGTGTCAGACACTGGGGAGCACTGGGACACTTACGGTTACTTGGGTTCCCTCGGTCGCTTTGTTAGGACACTTAGGTCACCTATTTTGCTTTTGTGTTTTTTATTTGTTTTTTTATGGGCCCCTATACTAAACTACATGGAACCCTGAGCCTTGTGGCTGTGACCCTCCTGAGATCTGATCCTCGGCAGGTCGTTAAAGGCGGGCGCGGCTGCCGGGCTGGCTTCGTGAAGGCGAGCCTGCGAAAAGAAACATAAACTGCGAGGCTTCGTTAAGGGTTGGGGACCTTGCAGCCCAGTGGTACCCTTTACTTCTTTTGTTTATGGTTTCCCTTAACAAACAACCAACCCCAAAAAGGGTGCCCTTGTCATAATATGGTTACTGGGCTACCAAGGGGACGTTTCGATAAGGGTTGGACGTTGACTGCTCAGGGGCCGGGGGTCCACATGGAACAAACATCAAGTCCTTGGTGAACTCTAAACGGCTGAGAGGCTGCTCACTGAGACGAGTTGGCCGACGGTGCCGCCAGAGCCGTCCTGCCGGAGGAGCGTCGACGCTCAGTCCCCAACGAGTTGCCTTCATGCAACTTCTCCTCCACCCCCTTAACAAATATGAACCGTAAGAGTAGCCCTGAACCCTAAAGCCCCTTCAGAGCCTCACCCGGATCGAAGTTCTGGTAGGATTTTCAGTCGCGAGCGGAAACCGAAGGTTTCAAGCTCAGAGGATCCTGGGATCGCAAAGCGAAACTCCTTGGATTTCATCGCGACCTCGACGGCGGCACGTCGCTGTGGGTCTTGGGATTTGTGGTTTATAGGGTTTGCGGAGTTTAAGGGGTTTATAGGGTTTATAGGGTTTAAAGGGTTTAGGGTAGGGTTTTGGGCTTAGCTGGTAGGATTTCCTCTTTCAGCTGAAGTCAACTAACTTTCCCTGCTTGTTGTGCTGAGCTGCCTTTATGGGCGTGCACAAGGAGCAGCAACTAGCGGCGACGGTTTTGGGATGAGGCCAGACGCCAACCAGCTTACAGGGCATCGGAATCCGGGTGCAGCGAAAACACACTCAACATGTTCAAAACCCTAAACCCTCAACCTCAAGCAGAGTCTGGTGTACCGAAGCCTCAGCCCCTTATGAGCTGCCAAGTGGAGACGAACAGAGGCCTGAGATCAGGCTGAAAGTTGGTGTGGCACATTCCGGCAAGTTCCGAAGAGTGCGGTTCAGGAGCTAGTAGACTTTGTGACTATACCGAACCTCCGAAACTTACGTCCTTGCTTCGGAAATTCCCATTTGATCTCCTGCCACAGTCCCTGAAGGGGGTGGTAGGGAAGACTCCGAAGGAGGAGAGGCAGCGTGGGAAAATCGACGTTGCTATGACTTGCTCGGCAGGGTTGGCTAGGTTCCACTGCCACGCGCAGGCTACGGAGGCCTCGTTAAGGGATGACGCAACTTACTGTTGGTTACTTGTAGTAGGGAATGGGGGAATGAGGGACCCTATATAATCTAATCCCTTAAAGGGTATATGTAGGGGGGGATATAGGGTTACTTCATTCCCTCATTCCCTACTAACCAACAGTAAGGCAATGCCAGGTGGGCTTGTTTGGGGGAGTTGTACATGGTTTCAGTTTGCAAGGGATCCCATCACCAATATTTTCCAAGGGTTTAAAGGCCAGCCCCAGAATGGGTGAAGGCACCTCCTGGGCTCGGGGAGAGGGCGGTTTAGGGTTTTGGGTTTACGGCATAGAGCTTGGAATGTTTCAGTAGCTGATCGCCGTGGGCCTGGGGCCCTCGGTTTCAGCCTTAGGCGTGCCTGAGGCGTACTGCAAGTTGACAAGACAGTTCGTGGCTCCGAAGACCCTCAACCCTCAACCCTCAACCCTAAACCCTAAACCCAAAACCTCATATCCTGGCCCCCTGGTCGCCCCGCAGCTGTTTTCACCTGCTCAGGCCTTTGGTTGACGGTCAGATCACTAAGCTTAGCAGTGGCACATGGCTTGCAGGGCTTGGGCTTTGGCCCACTCTGGTGGTGCAGAGTTTTGGATAACAGAGCCTAGCACCACAACGCTCAAAATCAGAGAATCAACGCAGAGACATAGGTTCCCTTGAGCATGGAGCTGCCCTTCAAAACCCTGAACCTGCCGACGCCCGGTGTATGGGGTTTAGGGTTTAGGGTTTAGGGTTCAGGGAACTGGCTGCAATCCACCCTTCGCCTAGGGCAGCGGTTGTGCCAATGGGAAACGTTGACAGCTGCGACAGATGCTGCGGAAAACCGGGGGAGACGTTCCGCGGCATGCACTTTGCAAACCCTAAACCCTTATAAACCCTAAACCCTAAACACCAATTCCCAAACCCCAAACCCCAAACCCTAAGCTTTGCGTTTGATTCTGAGTCTGGTGGGACGCACGAAGTCATGTGTGTGCACCAACTACCTCCTGAGACCCCGTAAGCCGCACTTCAAGCTCCCTAAACCCGAAACCCTAAACCCTATAAACCCTAAACCCTATACCCTAGACCCTAAACCCTAAACCCTAAGCCCTAAACCCTACCACAACCTCGTATGAGTAACGCCACAAAAGGGCACAGAGCAGGCCTCACATCCGAAGGCTCAAAAAACTCCTGAAACTCTGCCTTTCAGAGCAGGCCTCACATCCGAAGGCTCAAAAAACTCCTGAAACTCTGCCTTTCAGAACCCCCCTCCCCCCCCCCCCCCCCCCCCCTTGTTCCATCAAGGGTTTAGGGTTCAGGGTTTAGGGTTTAGGGTTTAGGGTTTTGGGTCCATGGCTCCTAAATAAACCCTAAACCCTGAACCCTCTGCGAGCCCTTTCGGAAGTTTAGCGAGATTTGGTTGTTGCCTTCTCCGTGAGAAAATGATTGACTTTAGCATGGTTGCATTTGGTTGCAAAGACGCCTTCAGGTCCCAGTTTCCTTGCAAGTCTAATCTGTCAATGCAAAATCATGAGGCCTGTAACCCTGAAAGCCTGAATCCTAAAACCCTGAACCCAAAGCCCCAAAACCCTAACCCCCAAACCCAAGTTGGGTTTTGGTCGAGCTGCGACGCGTCTGGCTCCGGAACCCATTTCAACCGACTCCTACGACTTATCCCTGCAGAATGGCCCCTCTGGGCTCAGCCTGGGTGGCAAAAAACCCTAAACTCTAAACCCTAAACCCCAAACCGATCAACTTTCAGGGCCCATGTAGACCCTAAGATTTGCTCCCCGTTGCCGGCCCTCCTTTCAGATCCCTCAAAACCCCCCAGACAATGGGATTTAGGGTTTTAGGGTTTAGGGTTTAGGGGTCATCGTCGGAGGTTGTTCGAGGTGGAAGAACGCCAGGGCCTCGGGGGTAAAGGGGGTAAAGTGGAGCTTGAGCTCGTTGAGTTGTTCCTTTGCAGTTTCTATTGTCTTCAAAAGGGTTTATGGGGTGCAGGATTTGGTACGAACAGCTTCTTGCTTTCGGGTGGTTGTTGTCCTAAAGTCTTGGCCGCGAGCGCGACCTAGTCGCGAAGCGGCCTCGCGACGATCAGGAGCCGTCAAGACACACCACTGCAGAGGGTAAAGCCTCTGCAGCCTCTCCTCCTCGGCAAGCCCCCGTACTGGGACTAATAAAGGTCAGACCTGTAAACTTCAACCCCATACCCGGCATGAAATCCTAAATCCTAAATTCGAGCCTACAAGCTTCCCGGAGCTTCCCAGGGCTTTTTTGAAGCCCCCAGAGCTTCTTCGAGAGCTTTTCAAGCTGCTTCGGAGCCTTTTAGGGGCTCCCAAGGGTCACCCGGACCCCCGCGACCTTTTCACAGCCTAATTTTGGTCAAGGGGGGGTCGTATTTTTCCATTTTCAAAGCAATTTAGTATTCGGAGACCCCCCCTTGCTCAAAACTCCGACCCCCCCTTGAAGGGGAAAGTTTGCCTCCAAAAACACCCCAAATGAGGGGGACCCCAGGATCGGCCCGGGTCCCAGTTAAAAGTGCGATTTTTTAGTACTGAAATCGACGGTTCTGGGCGGGCTCTAAAACCGAGCCTTCACCGGTTTCAGGGTTTCAAGTTTTTCAAGGCTCTTCAAGGCTTTTCCAAGCTTCCCAGAGTTTCCCAGGGCTTTTTGAAGCCACCAGAGCCTTTTCGATAGCTTTTCAAGCTGCTTCGGAGCCTTTTAGGGGCTCCTAAGGGTCACCCGGACCCCCGCGACCTTTTCACAGCCTAATTTTGGTCAAGGGGGGGTCGTATTTTTCCATTTTCAAAGCAATTTAGTATTCGGAGACCCCCCTTGCTCAAAACTCCGACCCCCCCTTGAAGGGGAAAGTTGGCCTCCAAAACCACCCCACATGAGGGGGACCCCAAGATCGGCCCGGGTCCCAGTTAAAAGTGCGATTTTTTTGTGCTGAAGTCGACGCTCTAAAACCGAGCCTTCACCGGTTTCAGGGTTTCAAGTTTTTCAAGGCTCTTCAAGGCTTTTCCAAGCTTCCCAGAGTTTCCCAGAGCTTTTTGAAGCCACCAGAGCCTTTTCGATAGCTTTTCAAGCTGCTTGGTTTCAGGGTTTCAAGTTTTTCAAGGCTCTTCAAGGCTTTTCCAAGCTTCCCAGAGTTTCCCAGAGCTTTTTGAAGCCACCAGAGCCTTTTCGATAGCTTTTCAAGCTGCTTGGTTTCAGGGTTTCAAGTTTTTCAAGGCTCTTCAAGGCTTTTCCAAGCTTCCCAGAGTTTCCCAGAGCTTTTTGAAGCCACCAGAGCCTTTTCGATAGCTTTTCAAGCTGCTTGGGAGCATTTTAGATGCCCCCCAAAGGGGTCACCCGGACCCCTGCGACCTTTTCACGGCCTAATTTTGGTCAAGGGGGGGTCGTGTTATCCCATTTTCAAAGCAATTTAGTATTCGGAGACCCCCCTTGCTCATAACTCCGACCCCCCCTTGAAGGGGAAAGTTTGCTTCCAAAAACACCCCAAATGAGGGGGACCCCAGGATCGGCCCGGGCCCTAGTTAAAAATGCGATTTTTTAGTATTGAAATCGACGGTTCTGGGTGGGTTCTCGTTTTCTGGATTTTTGACCAAAACCGAGCCTTCACCGGTTTCAGCCAAAAGCGCCCCAAATGAGGACAACCCCAAGATCGGCCCGGGTCCCAGTTAAAAATGCGATTTTTTAGTACTGAAATCGACGGTTCTGGGTGGGTTCTCGTTTTCTGGAATTTGACCAAAACCGAGCCTTGCTCCTCTCGGACAATTCCTGCAGGCTCCTCCCGGACAGTTTCTGAGCTT